ATCATAAGGAAAAAAAAAAAAAAAAGTGGTCTTTCAAACTATGTCATGAGCTGTACATAAAAAACCATATATTTGTCTCACTAGACATTTATTTAGTGACATTTATTGCTATAAACAAAATGTTTTTTCTTAGAATATTTTCTTCTCTATTTTCTTCCATATTTTCTCTTCCTGGGAACTTCAGACCCAACAATTTGTGTGCAAGGAACTTGCTTTTTAGAGGCTTGCACAAGGCCTGATTGGTGCAGACTGTTATATAGCATTGTATAATATCATGTTACAAGAGACTACTAAGTTAGCACTTGCAATGTGTAAAGCATACCTTTTATCCCAGCCCTGGGAACAAAGCTTTTTATGTTTGCTGCACTGGTTGCTGCAACCAAATTCAATAGGAACGAAGAATCAGTGTTCCTGGTCACTGCCAATTTACAGGTTTGATCAGAGACACCAGTGCCGGCACCGCAAACGGCCACTGTGCAGGGCAGCACCGAGGCTCACCCTGGGGCACTGAGCGTGTCCCGCTGACCCTGCGCACCAGGCCCCAGCCAGGGTGAGCAACCAACAGCTCACTAGTGGTTTCTTATCCCTGTCGTGGACCCACAGGCCCTTTGAATCAAAGCCTGCAGAGTGGTGAGCCCTCCGATCGCTGCTCAAAACACTGCCATGACACACCACCAGATAAAGCCATTGCTGGTGGTTAGAAGCTCAGTGAAACGGTTTTATCTGCAGAACTAACCCATAGTGAATCAATCAGTGAAACGGTTTTATCTGCAGAACTAACCCATAGATTTCTTCTGTGACTTGGTAGAAATAAAATTGTGTCTGGATTCAGAGACCAGGCACCTGGATGAACTTTTCATTGATTCTGCCTGCAAACCTACAGTGTGTTCTGTCGTGTGCCTAACAGCAGGATTCCTCCAAAAACTGGCCCAAAACCGGAATCGCAGGACAAAGATTAGATTTTTGTACTGCAGAAGCTGGACCCGAGGGTGCAGGTGGGTACGGTGTGCTCGCAGGCGAACAAAAAGGCCTTCAGCGAGGCAGGCGGCAGGTCTGCTCTCCTTGCCCTCCCTGCTCGCCTCCGGCCCCTCGGCGCGGGCGGCAGGGGGGCACTGCGGCGGCTCGGCAGAGGCCCGTCCCCTTCATCAGCCCCCTGAGGGCGGAGGGCAGGGGC